AAAATTAACAAAAACTAGCAATAAGACCTAAATTCAAATAAAGAATAATGGGAAGTTAATAAACTAGTTCTTAAATGATGTAAAATTTAGAAGAAATTTATACAATTTGTTATGCTTTATTGTTTAAATTTTATGTATAGGCTTCCATTAAAAAAAAAAAGTAAAAACATGATTTTTTAAATAAAAGAATCTATGTTTCCAAAAAATTATTTTAATTTTTTTAAAATTAAATTTAAGTTAGGTATTTAAGGGTACCTTTTAATTAGAATAGTACAATAAGATTGATCTAGTGGTTAAGAATATCTACTTTATTTATTCATTTTTTTGCTTCAAACCTTTAAACCAACATTTAGAAAAATTTATTAAAACTTTTTAAATGCAATATTCTGAGATGTGATATAAACTCTTCAAATTATTCGAATTTTTTTTTTTATCAAAATATGAGCATCCTCGAAAATACTTATTATATTCACATAAAAAACAAAAAAGTTCTGACATAATAATTTTTCATCCAACAACGGAGAAAAAATATGCTCATAAAGAATAAATTATAAATTAATCCCTCTAGTTTTATAAATGAAATTAAATAATTTATCTAATTTAATTAATTAATTAATTTTTATATTTTAAAATTCATTTATAAGTTAATTTTTTCATTTTAATTTAATAAATATTAAAAAAAAAGATTGATAAAAAATATTTTTTTAAAATAAAATAGTATTAAATTAATGATGATTAATACCCTCGACTCTAAAATAATTAATTAATATTTGAAACAAGAGAAACTATTTAATTTGCTTTACAAAATTAGAGGGACTAATTTATAATTTACTCAGCCCATAAGTCATAATAGTCGTGCTAAAATTCAATTCCCAAGCAGATTGGTCACTTCATCTACTCCCACTATCCTCAATCCTTATTCCCTGACCGGTCTCAAACTGGACAGCGTGTTTATTTGCATTTGTATTTTTATTGATTTGATGGAGCAATCATCTTCTTCTTCGAAAAAGGAAAGTCTTGATGTTACCCTGCATTCATTTGGGTTCCAAATTGAAGAATTGTCCCGTGAAAAGGTCACTGGCCGCCTCCTTGTTACCCCCAAGTGCGTTCAGGTCTGTCGCTCTCCCTCTCTCTCTCTCTCTCGTTATACATATTAAAAAGAAGAAATGATTTGATTTCATTGAATTAAAATTACCCAAATGGAGGCAGCATTTGGCTGCCTGATACTCAAAATTTTGTTCTGAATGGAAATGGGCCGGCGAGCAGCCGTTCAAAGTGTTACACGGCGGAGTATCGGCGTTGATTTCGGAGGCGATGGCTAGCATGGGGGCCCACATGGCATCGGGATTGCAAAGAGTGGCTGGGATACACCTGAGCAGCAATCATGTGAAAAGCGCCCACCTTGGAGACCTTATCCTCGCCGAAGCCACTCCCTTCAGTATTGGCAAAACCATCCAGGTACGAGCTAGCTACGATTACATAAATTCCACTCCTTCCTTCAGTATCGGGAAAGGAAAACTACCATTTAGATTCTTACGTTAGTCATTGCTGATACAGGTGTGGGAGGTGCGGCTCTGGAAATTATCGGATCCTTCAAACACACAATCCACTAAATCATTGGTATCATCATCAAGGGTTACTCTTATCTGCAACTTGCCTGTGCCTGACCATGCTAAAGAAGCCACAGAAAATCTCAGAAGCCAGGCTAAACTATGAACACTTTTTCTTTCTTTCTTTTGTCGCCTGCCTGCATGCCAACCACCACATCCACAACATGGTCTTTGCAGGTATTAATTATTCCTAGTAAAATAGATAACAATGCAATTGTACTACCATAATTCAGTGACTGAAGTTTTTACTCTATGATTCTCAAGTTTCAATGCGAAGGTTATAAATAAATTCATCTAATTTAGTCCCAGAGAAATGTGTGATTATTTTACCAATTATTACCAGGGCTACTAATTAAAAAAAAAAACGTTATCAGACGGTCAAAGCTGTTTTTAGACACCAGCCTTCCCTCTTTAACCATAACTACCAAACCTACTAACCACCAAACTCCTCATTCCCCCCATTTTTGGACGGGTAACCAAAAGATTGCAATATCATTATCTTATTATTGGAATATTGAGTCTTCCGGCTTTAAGAAGCCATTCCTTCCGTTATATTGCAGCTTAAACCAATAAATGCACTGCCACAAGCCTCCGTTTCCAACTTAACGGAGGGCTGCTTGCCCAGAATGCCTTCGACTTGATTGTGCCAACAAACTGACAGATGCATCCTCCAAAGCTATCATTACTAATTAAAAGCAGAATCAGCATTTTATAACCCTCTGAAAATAAAAAAATCCTATTAAATCCACTTCGTTAGTTAATGATTGTACACCTATTTATACCAGATTATAAGCAAGGCCCGGCCACGGGGCCATGGCGGTGCACTCCCGGAGATCAGGTGAAACGAATCAAACCCATTATCACAAATTGTTATTTGATTGTTGGGCTATTCAGTTTAATGATTCTGGGTCGGAATGTGACGAGTAGTATAGAAAAAGTCGATAATGATACTTGCTTGGGTTCCACAAAATCGTGAGGCTGAGGAGCAGCAGCAATGAGCAACCCTTGTTGTGAACTTCGTTACACGTATAAGGATATGATGATGACGAGGATGGTTTCGGTCGTGCTGCGATAAGAGGGGGGCCCAAGTATTAAAAATAAATAATGAGGCCCCTTTCAGCTCCTTCGTTCATTGGGCTTTCCTTCGGCTCCCTTATATCTGTTTTATTTACAAATTGGTATTTATTTAAAAGTTTTTTGATCATTCTATTTTACATAATTTACAATTTAGTCCTTATGATGAAAGCGTTTTTGCAATCAAATTCCTGTAAACATATTTTCGTTATGCGATTGTTCATTACCCAGCTTTTTTTTTTTTGTTAACGTAATGTAGCGAGTCATTAAAATTGTAGTGATCCATTATATTGCAATTTTGAAAATTATACAACCAAACGTATGAAAATAATGAATCATTACATTCAATCAAAGATGCCATAATAGGTGATTTATGGATAGTTTTGACCTTCTTAAAAGTAAATATTAAAATTCATAGTAGATTATATCTTAGAAAGCGAATAGCCAAAATAGTTGCTGCTACTCGGTTCTTTTAAGCCCAATCATTGTAGACTAAGCTAATTAAATCATATAGTTGTGTTGTGCGTACATAACATAATACTGGAGAGCCATATTAGCTAATGATACTTAATAGAATTAACAAATGCTTCTACATCTCTTTAACAAACAAAACCTATCATGGGTCTGCTATTAAATTGTCATTTTGAAAATCGGTTAAAACAACTAAACCTCTCCTAAATTTTAATTTATTTAAAAACCAATGTTTTATTTTTTTATTTTTAATTTTTTTTAACCTCTCTAAATTTTTTTTTTTTTAGATGTAGTCTATTTTTCAGTTTTTTTGTCATTTATTTAAAAAAAATAACAGTTACATAAATAACTCATGATGAAAATTATTTAGTGATATTTATTTTAAATCAAAATATCAAAAATTGATTTTTTCTTAAAAGAATATGAGTGATAATTGAAATTCATAAAATAAATTAAATTTAAAAAAAAATTCAAAAGGATCAAAACATGCCTTAGAAGTTCAAGAATTGATTTTCGAATAAAGGAGAGATTATGAGAAGTTTGAAAATTTTGAGAGAGATGGTTTCTTACTGCTTAAAAAAAAAGCTTTTAAGATTTGGGATTCTGTGCTGTGTTGACAAAGTTTCATCGATCAATGTTGGCTAAAAAGTTAACAATATGCCAAGATTTATTGATAGTTTCTTCTCTTTCAAAAACCCATTTCTTTCATTCAAAAAATATTTTTTGATTGTTAGCTTTTTAGCATTTAGAAAATTAAAAAAAAAATTTTCAGAGAAAATCAAAATATTTAAAAGTTTTGATATGTTAAAAAAGTTATAAAGTCAATTACGTACAAGTTATATATACTGACATTGTTAAAATTAACAAAAACTAGCAACAAGACCTAAATTCAAATAAAGAATAATTGGAAGTTAATAAACTAGTTCTTAAATGATGTAAAATTTAGAAGAAATTTATACAATTTGTTATGCTTTATTGTTTAAATTTTAGAATGAAATTATGTATAGGCTTTCATTAAAAAAAAAAAAGTAAAAAAAATGATTTTTTAAACAAAAAAAATTTATGTTTCCAAAAAATTAAAAAAATAATAAATTTAAGTTAGGTATTTAATGGTACTTTTTAATTAGAATAGTACAATAAGATTGATCTAGTGGTTAAGAATATCCGCTATATTTATTAATTTTTTTGCTTCAAACCTTTAAACCAACATTTAGAAAAATTTATTAAAATTTTTTAAATGCAATATTCTGATATGTGATATATACTCTTCAAATTATTCAGGAAAAAAAAATTGTTATTTTGATTAAAATATGAACGGCCTCTAAAATACTTATTATATTCACATAAAAAACAAAAAAGTTATGACATAATAATTTTTCATCCAACAACGGAGACAGAACATGCTCATAAAGAATAAATTATAAATTAATCCCTCTAGTTTTATAAATGAAATTAAATAATTTATCTAATTTTAATAATTAATTAATTTTTATATTTTAAAATTCATTTATAACTAATGTTTTTCATTTTAATTTAATAAATATTAAAAAAATGAAAAGATTGATATTTTTGAAATAAAATAATATTAAATTAATGAAGATTAATAATCTCAACTCTAAAATAATTAATTAATATTTGAAACAAGAGAAACTATTTAACTTGCTTTACAAAATTAGAGGGACTAATTTATAATTTACTCAGCCCATAAGCCATGATAGTCGTGCTAAAATTCAATTCCCAAGCAGATTGGTCACTTTATCTACCCCCACTATCCTCAATCCTTATTCCCTGACCGGTCTCAAACTGGACAGCGTGTTTATTTGCTTTTGTATTTTTATTGATTTGATGGAGCAATCATCATCTTCTTCCTCCTCTTCTTCTTCTTCCAAAAAGGAAAGTCTTGATGTTCCCCTGCATTCATTTGGGTTCCAAATTGAAGAATTGTCCCGTGAAAAGGTCACTGGCCGCCTCCTTGTTACCCCCAAGTGCGTTCAGGTCTGTTGCTCTCCCTCTCTCTCTCGTTATACATATTAAAAATAAGAAATGATTTGATTTCATTGAATTAAAATTACCTAAATGGAGGCAGCATTTTGCTGCCTGATACTCAAAATTTTGTTCTGAATGGAAATGGGCCGGCGAGCAGCCGTTCAAAGTGTTACACGGCGGAGTATCGGCGTTGATTTCGGAGGCGATGGCTAGCATGGGGGCCCACATGGCATCGGGATTGCAAAGAGTGGCTGGGATACACCTGAGCATCAATCATGTGAAAAGCGCCCACCTTGGAGACCTTATCCTCGCCGAAGCCACTCCCTTCAGTATTGGCAAAACCATCCAGGTACGAGCCAGCTACGATTACATAAATTCCACTCCTTCCTTTAGTATCGGGAAAGGAAAACTACCATTTAGATTCTTACGTTAGTCATTGCTGATACAGGTGTGGGAGGTGCGGCTCTGGAAATTATCGGATCCTTCAAACACACAATCCACTAAATCATTGGTATCATCATCAAGGGTTATTCTTATCTGCAACTTGCCTGTGCCTGACCATGCTAAAGAAGCCACAGAAAATCTCAGAAGCCAGGCTAAACTATGAACACTTTTTCTTTCTTTCTTTTGTCGCCTGCCTGCATGCCAACCACCACATCCACAACATGGTCTTTGCAGGTATTAATTATTCCTAGTAAAATAGATAACAATGCAATTGTACTACCATAATTCAGTGACTGAAGTTTTTACTCTATGATTCTCTGGTTTCAATGCGAAGGTTATAAATAAATTCATCTAATTTAGTCCCAGAGGAATGTGTGATTATTTTACCAATTACTACCAGTGCTACTAATTAAAAAAAAAACGTTATCAGACGGTCAAAGCTGTTTTTAGACACCAGCCTTCCCTCTTTAACCATAACTACCAAACCTACTAACCACCCATTCCCCCCATTTTTGGACAGGTAACCAAAAGATTGCAATATCATTATCTTATTATTGAAATATTGAGTCTTCCGGCTTTAAGAAGCCATTCCTTCCGTTATATTGCAGCTTAAACCAATAAATGCACTGCCACAAGCCTCCGTTTCCAACTTAACGGAGGGCTGCTTGCCCAGAATGCCTTCGACTTGATTGTGCCAACAAACTGACAGATGCATCCTCCAAAGCTATCAGTACTAACTAAGAGCAGAATCAGCATTTTATAACCCTCTGAAAATAACAAATCCTATTAAATCCACTTCGTTAATTAATGATTGTACACATATTTATACCAGATTATAGGCAAGGCCCAGCCACGGGGCCATGGCGGTGCACTCCCGGAGATCAGGTGAAACGAATCAAACCCATTATCATCAGACACGTATATCCCCAGAGATTGAATAGGAAATTGGTAGTCGAATTAAGGTGTTAAGTAAGTTTATAAGAGATGAACGCAATATTGAGAGAGTCATTGCTACACTACATTCATGCAGCCTGAAGTTAAATCATTATAAAAGTTACTAGATAGTACATATGAATTGAGGCAAGAGGAGGAATGAGAGCTTGAGAAATCATGAAATTAATAATGGCTGCTGGAATTACATAATTAATCGCGTTATGTGGTACTGGTACAGAGAAAACAGCAGCTTTTTCCATCCATTAAATTAATATGTTTGATTTGGAAGATAGAACCCAATAATGTATAAATACATGGGAAACAAAATCCATCGAATTCTGCACAAGGTTAGCTAGCTAGTTAGTTGCAGCTGCTTCCAAAAGAAGTGGGCTAGCTTATGGCTTATATTTATTACTTTCGGCTTCGTTTCCAATTTCCATACTGATCAGTTGCAGATATCCTTTGGCTTCAAAAATACAAAACCCCGTAAACTACAAAAGTGCTTATATAAGCAAGCAAGTTGTTTTTTCAGATGAAAACAGGGAGAATGGAGCAGGAGAGCTGGGAAAGTAAAATATATAGCTAACCTGAGGTTGATAAGTTGCTGAGTGAGGTCATTAATCTCACGGGCAGAGAGTTTGAGAGAAGACAAGGTTCCTGGCACCTCTTCAGAGATGACTCGAGACAATTTTTGGACAGAAGCTCCCAATCTTCTAAAAACCTGCAGCATTGTTCTTATCGTTGCATACTATATATCCTATATGCTTAACAATTCAGAGCAGCAGTGCATGACTTATAGTATTGCAATATTAATTACCACGGACTGGGGCAGTATTAATTAAGAATAAAAGAAAAGGAATAAATTAGCAAGAGCTTACCCTAATAGTTGGAAGGGAAATGATAGCCAAAGAGAACATTGCTCCAATAGCCTGCGATGAAGATGAGTAGACTTCCATATCACTTACTCAGAGAAGAACTAATTGGACAATGATAAAGAAGAAAAAGAAAAAGGAAATAGAAAAGAAAAGGTGGAGATACTACCGTAGAAAGAAGAAAGAAGAGAGAGAAGAGGGCCAAATGAGGAGGGGAGGGTGTGAACCCTAGAGATTTGAGATGGTTGGGAGTAAAAGGCAATCGAGTAGAAGAGAGGAGTTTGGCATCAGCAACATTATTGGAAATTCGATTTATGGGAAGAGCTGGAGTAGTTGGTAACGCACCTCTTCTCCCGCCAAGCATCGATGTGGAAGGAGGAACAGAGCAACAAGAACAAGTCCTGTGTCTCCTTACAGACACATGAGGGTACATAAACAGTGAGGTGGATCTAAGAAGAAGAAGAAGATGCATCCTATTACCATTAGAAAGAGAGCTCTAGACAATTTTCTATGAGAAAGATTCAACAATAGTCTAGGATTTTGCGTTATAAACCTCAATCAATTAAACACTGATAAAAATAACTACATCAACGAAGTAGTTATCACAAATTGTTATGTGATTGTTGGGCTATTCAGTTTAATGATTCTGGGTCGGAATGTGACGAGTAGTATAGAAAAAGTGGATGATGATACTTGCTTTGGTTCCACAAAATCGTGAGGATGAGGAGCAGCAGCAATGAGCAACCCTTGCTGTATAAGGATTTGATGACGACGACGATGGTTTCAGTCGTGTTGTGATGAGAGGGTTGGCCCAAGTATTAAAAGTAAATAACAAGGCCTCCTTCAGCTCCTCCGTTCATTGGGCTTTCCTTCACCTCCCTTACATTTTATTTTTATTTATCTATTGTATTTATTTAAAAAGTTTTTTGATCTTTCTATTTTACATAATTTACAATTTAGTCCTTATAAGGAAAATGTATTTGCAATCAAACTCCTGTAAACATATTTTCGTTATGTGATTGTTCATTACCCAGCTTTTTTTTTAATGTAATATTTGTAATGTAACGAGTCATTAAAATTGCAGTAGTCCATTATATTTCAATTTTGAAAATTATACAACCAAACGTATGAAAATAATGAATCATTACATTCAATCAAAGATGCCATAATAGGTGATTTATGGATAGTTTTGACCTTCTTAAAAGTAAATATTAAAATTCATAGTAGATTATATCTTAGAAAGCGAATAGCCAAAATAGTTGCTGCTACTCGGTTCTTTTAAGCCCAATCATTGTAGACTAAGCTAATTAAATCATATAGCTGTGTTATGTGTACATGCTTCTACATCTCTTTAACAAACAAAACCTGTCCTGGGTTTGCTATTAAATTGTCATTTTTATAATCGGTTAAAACAACTAAACCTCTCTTAAATTTTAATTTATTTAAAAACCAATGCTTTAATTTTTTTTTTAAATGTGTTTTGACCACTCAAATTTTTATTTTATTTTTTTAAAGATTTAGACTATCTTTTATTTTTTTTTCATTTATTTCAAAAAAAAATAAATAATAGTTACATAAATACTCATGATGGAAATTATTTAGTGATATTTATTTTAAATTTTCTAAAAAATTTAGGACCATTCTGGATTTTTTTTCAATTTTATATCTTTAATTTTCAAAAAAAAAAAAAATTATGATCTTGAAAAATTTTAGAATTTATTTAGAAAATGAATTGAATTTTTTTCAATGCATATGCAAAATTTTAAATCAAAATATCAAAAATTTAATTTAATTTTTTTAAAAAAAGAACATGAGTGATAATTGAAAATCATAAAATAAAAAAAAATTCAAAAAGATCAAAACATGCCTTAGAAGTTCAAGAATTGATTTCGAATAAAGGAGAGATTATGAGAAGTTTGAAAATTTTGAGAGAGATGGTTTCTTACTGCTTAAAAAAAAAAAAAAAAAAAAACTTTTAACGTTTGAGGTCCTGTGCTGTGCTGACAAAGTTTCATCGATCAATGTTGGCATTTTCAGGATCTCTTTAAAGATGTGACCTTTGCCTTCTTAATTAATTGGATTTACTATTTGTTATAACAGCTTGAGTGGATCATTGAAAGGCAATTTGAGATAAAGTCCTAGACTTTCAGATTCTCACACGAATCCCCATTGAAAACCCCATAATTTCACTTTGTGGAGAGAGTATTAGTTAGGTGCCCATGTTACATCGGTATAATTATTATATATACAAAGTTGACGGTTCATATAATATGATATAATATGATAGTAGTAGATATTTTATTTCTAAAAATTAATGTATATAGATTTAGTAAACTTATATATATATTAACAAAATAATTTATAATATTAGTATAAAAATTTGTATTTGAATAATTAAGAGGTTCTTTCAAAACACTAATTAAATTATTTCATTTAAAAATACAAATTTTAGAATATGAAAAAAATAAATAAAAATAATTGATGTTATGTGTGCGGATATAATTAATTTCTAACAAAATTATATATATATATATATATATATATATATATATATATAACCAAATAAAATCTGTGAATTTTTTAACTAATTATTATTTTTTTAAAATCGAGTTGAATTTTTTTAACTAATTATATAAAATTAGTTTCGATAAATTTTGATTATATATATTTAACCAAATAAAACCCGTGAATTTTTTAACTAGTTATTAATTTAAAAAAAAAAAAAACCAAGCCAAATTATTTTTTTTAACTAATTCGTTTTTTTTAAAAAATTAAGTCAAATTATCTAAAACACACTTTTAGCTCTCTCTTATCAGAATTTATATATGCGACAATGTCATTTTCATGGAAAAATTATAAAAATAATCAATCGTATGAATTATAATAATATATTTTAAAAAATAAAATAATTATGTTCTAAAATTTTATTTCAGAAGCCATATATAAAAAAATAAAATTTATTAACAAATAAAATTATATAAAATTTTAAAATTAATTCGATTAGAATTTTAATAAGAAACAAACAATTGAAGAAATATATTTTAAATAATAAAAATAATATAATCAGATATATATGTTCAAATTAAAATTTTTAAAAATATCATGTATATTCTATTATTGTCAAACTATACGTAAAACAAAAAAAAATAACGATTTTTTTATATATATATTTTCACATCTAATTTCGTGATAAAAAAATATAAAAATAAATTAAGGGGAGCAATTGCTATATGAGAACATATAAAAACTAGAAACCAAAAAAAAAAAAAAAAAGGAATGCTACAGTGAAATAGCAGCTCAGATCTTTAAAAAAGAAAGAAAGAAATAAAGAAAAATGGAGGCCAGACGTATAAAAAGAGAAAAAGGCACTGCTATTTTTTTTTTTAATAATAGCAAGCAGTCAAGCACAACCTGACGAAACATTTGAAGTTTGTTAGGCTTCTCAACGAAAAGAAAAGAATTTTAGGCCCACTTCGCTAATACTAGCCTACTCGAACGTTTCTCAAAGGTTAGATAAAACCCGGCCCGTTCGAGTTTAGATGTGGTCGGGACAAAATTCTGACCCAATAGCCCTGGGGGAAAAAAAAAAAGCTACAGTAAATCAATAACGATACCTGCATATCTTTTAGTTTTTTTTTAATAAAAAATGAGAGCCTTGAAAACCGGCAGGTAAATCATCCCCCCAACAACCCCTCCCCCCTCCTCCTCCTCCTCCTCCTGTCTTTGTGAGACATGCAAACGTAATCCTATGGTCAAAGTAATTTTCACGAAACAGCCAATCGTTGGAATCTAGGTTTTATGTAGTGAGGCCCCAGTAGTGTCTTGCAACAGACGCAGGTATGCACACAAATATATATATATATATATATATATATATATATATATATATAGACGAAGCTAATTAACTTTGGACCATCATTATCCCCTTCAAGCATTATTTTGAACATTACCTGACAAGGTTCGCATATACTGAAGGTTGACGCAGCAATTTCCAAGGACCAGAATCTTGGAGGCTTAGATGGTGTTATATGGAACCGCATAGGTAAATTTATGGTTGGTTTATCTGGTACAACCGTTTCTGGAAATTGATATTGAAAGTGACTCTGGTAATGTGTTCCTACTACCACAAAAAAAATTATATATATATAATTAAATAATAAAAATCGCATGATCAATAAAAAAACATTATTATAAATTAAGGTAGATAAAAAATTAGAATTTTTTATATCTTAATCATTAAAAAAATTAAAAAAATAAAATTATATTGCCATATTTTTATGATATAAAGATGATAGAACTATTAAAATAAGTATAATTGAACAAATTAAAATTATTAAACTAAAGCACGTACTAAAGCACGTACTAAATAGTTTTCTTGAAATGATACGCATAATTTGAAGATTTTTCTAATGCAAAAATCAATTATATATAGCTAGCCATTTTAAATGTACAATAGTCCACCCATATCTACTGTAATTTTACAAGCCTATGATGCTTATAAAGTAAGAAACTCATACAATATCTCTATTTTACTCAAATAAATAAGAAAATAAAATAGCACCGATAATATATTTTTAGAATATAATAGTATATTTTAATAGTACTACCAACAACACAATAAAAAATTGATTTTTATAAAATCACATGGAATAATCTTTTCGATGCATGCCAATTAGGCTAAACAAACGGTTACAAGCACCTTTAACTATCATTATTGTTGATCATCATGGTATATAATTAAATTATACCTAAGAGACTTGATTTGAATGGAAGTGGTTCTAATTGCTTAAACAAGTGATCTTGAATTCTAGTTTTTGTGTATGCAAAAAACTCTTTAGGTTGTGTGCTTATCTTATGTGCCCGACAGAATAACGAGAGATTAGTTTGGATTTTTAAACTTGAGATGCCTTGGAAGATCAAAAAAAAAAAAAAAATTATGAACCATCCATATACCAATCTTGACAATGCTCAATTAGTCAAATCAATAACACTCTTAGCGACTTCGAACCACTCGTTTTTATCGGAAGACAAATTTGTATCTCCCTTGACTTAGGATCTAAATAGATTGAGAATATTATCGTTGTGTCTCATAATGAATGTAATACACAAGGCACTATGTCCTTCTTATTGTATTATTAATTATGATTTTCACTACGGAAGCCCTTTAAATAGTTAATAGGTTCAACCTTATTTACAAATTTAAGTCTAAAATACACTATTAAATTTTTCTACCTTACCATTTTATTTTAATGGTGTAGACTGAAATAACTTGATCCATTTCTTTTATTTTCGCCAAATTCTTTTTCTTGATGGTAGAATAAATTTATTTAGCTTATACCATTTAATCGATTGCCTAAATTTTTT